AGGCTGCTGCCGGCGGCACTGCACCGCTACGTGCGGGCAGGCCCTACGGTCGGCCCTTCGTCGGCCGTCCGACAACGTTTTCTGGAAACTCTGACCTAGCTGGACATAACATGACATATAATGACCAAATACATATAAATTGCTCGGGAGTGTTCGGCTAGATATGTACATGGCTCGGGAGTGAAAATGGGCTAAAATCACGATCAACTTGACCGAGCATTTCAACTCGAAACTTGCTGAAACATAACAGTCCTTTTATATATGATTTATCATGATTTGTAAGCTACTAATCTGGGCCAAAACATACTTGGAGCTAAAAATTCGTTTTTAAGCCGATTAACTTAAAAAATCCAAAACTCTAATTCTACCCATGCAAAACTCAATTTCTTGACAGGATAATTCATAAAATATACTAAAATGACTTTTGAGACATGAATTGCTCGTATGTTTCCGAATAAAAACGGACATCACTCGGTGAGGGCTTATATAGCACTTCCGAGGCCATTTTCGCACAAAACTTAAACCGAACGACATGATTTTGACATGAATTTCCTAACATGAACTTAAATACATGAAAGTAGGGTAAATAAGTGTATACCCTTCAGTTTACTCAAGGAATTCACGGTGGCTTGCGCGTGCTTGCTTGGTGCGTTCGGTGCACTCGACGGTGTGCGAGTGCTTCTCCTTTTCTTAGGCTTTTCTTGGCTATTTTTCTGTAATTATTCTTCTATTTTTCCTTACTGTTCTTCCCTCAATACATATGCTGAAGTTGAGCTTATATTGTGCGTGAAATGCGTGGGGAAAACTACTTGCTCGGTTATTTAAAGAGAGGGGTAAATCGTTGGGACTTACTCGGTCAACGGAGGTGATGGATGACGTTACTTCTCTTGCTGCCACATGTCCAGGACGTGGTTGAGGTATGGGGCATTTGACTTGGTCACTGGTCAATGTGGCGTGCATGCACGGGCTTAGTCATCGCCCGTGCGCTCGTGCGGTGCCAAGTGTGCGGGCAAGCAGGTGACTCACTGCACCACTTGCACACCGGGACTTATCCGTAGTTGGGAGCTTAACTCTGATCATGGTGCTTAAAGAAGTAAAAGCATGTGCTTAAGAAGGGCTTAGTGCGTGCGCACATACACGCACGGCTATGCACGACATGCGTGCGTGCGGTTTCTGACTTAAGCTTAAGCATAGGACTTCATTAAGCTTAAATATGGATTAACACTAAATAAACATGATTATCCTTAAGCATGATTAATATTCAATTAATCATCATTAACATTTAATTAATCGTGATTAACCTTAAGCTAATCATGATTAATTAGCTAAACATGGATTAAGCTAATTAAGCAAGGCTTAATGACGATTGCTTAAGCATAAACTAATGATGGACGGTGTACCAAGTGTGAACGCGTCACTGTATAGGAATGACGATTAGCTTAAGGTTAATCATGATTAATTAAATGTTAATGATGATTAATTGAATATTAATCATGCTTAAGGATAATCATGTTTATTTCGTGTTAATCCATATTTAAGCTTAATGAAGTCCTATGCTTAAGCTTAAGTCAGAAACTGCACGCACGCATGTCGTGCATAGCCGTGCGTGTATGCGCGCACGCACTAAGCCCTTCTTAAGCACATGCTTTTACTTCTTTAAGCACCATGATCAGAGTTAAGCTCCCAACTACGGATAAGTCTCGGTGTGCAAGTGGTGATGTGAGTCACCTGCTTGCCCGCACACTTGGCACCGCACCAGCGCACGGGCGATGACTAAGCCCGTGCATGCACGCCACATCGACCAGTGACCAAGTCAAATGCCCCATACTTCAGCCACGACCTGGACATGTGGCAGCAAGAGAAGTAACGTCATCCATCACCTCCGTTGACCGAGTAAGTCCCAACGATTTACCCCTCTCTTTAAATAACCGAGCAAGTAGTTTTCACCAGGCATTTCACGCACAATATAAGCTCAACTTCAGCATATGTATTGAGGGAAGAACAGTAAGGAAAAATAGAGGAATAATTACAGAAAAATAGCCAAGAAAAGCCTAAGCAAAGGAGAAGCACTCGCACACTGTCGAGTGCACCGAACCCACCAAGCAAGCACACGCAAGCCACCGTACATTCCTTGAGTAAACTGAAGGATTGATCAGCAGCAGCACTTACAGTTTCAGACTAGCAGTTCAGGTGGGAACTCAGACTGGGTATTACATTGGTTATAATTGCTCTATCATGTTTTAAGGTATGTATATCAGTTATTCCACTTTGGGTGCAGGCGCAGTAGCCTTAATTGCCCATCCAGAGTTCTGGTGGAGGCGCAGTAGCTTTAATTGCCCATCAGAGTGTGCACATGGCCAGTTCAGTACAGACCTCGTGTCTGGAGTTCACAGATTACAGTTTACTTATATATACTTGTAGTCATGATATTGATATTATTATTAATGTTTACTTCAGTATGAGTTCCTGCGGAGCACAGTGGCTTTTAGTGCTCACGCCCCACGATGTCTATATTTTTTAGGTTACAGAGTCGGACTAGAGGAGTGAGCTGGTTGGTGGATCGTAGTCATGGACATGGCTAGTAGCCATTGTACATTATTGTACAGTTAGGTTTTGCCACGTATGACTTCTGCTGTTACATTACAATATTTCAACTAGCATGTCAATTTTTATTTTTAAACTGATTTATCAAACAGATTTTTTTTATAAAGTATAGCTAGTAGATCTAAAATAATCCGTTTATTCTTCAAAGTTAAATTTAAACAAAGGTAACGGATTTCTCAAGCAATGAATGGTTTTTAATAACATCCCGAAAAGGATTTCGCAAATGAACATGTTTTATTAAGAAAAGAATTTGCGAAAAATACACTCTGATATTTATGGAAAAGCGGGGTGTTACACCCCATTTAGCCCCTATTTTACCAATAAAATCGAGCCTCTATGATTAAATAATATTAATCTGATTGATCGATTTACCTCCCTATGTTTTAGATATAATGTCTGTTGATTAATTAAATTACTGACAAAATAATTAATCAACTTCTTATTCATTTCCGAAATTAGTACCACTATGACCTTAACCATTATGTCAGACAATCGTCTACCTACAGGGTTTAACATAATGTTCCTTCCTGAGCTCATTTCGGGGACGTCATCAATCCAGTGCACTGGAACATAGTGACCGTAAATAATTTATAATAGCACATCATATAATTATTCTTACTTACCAAAATACCTCGTATGTCATCCTAATAAAATAGGAATCACTTGATAAATTAAATAAATAAGAAATAAAAATATATGCCTATTTTATATTATCTTACAGCTTAAGAGAACGCATAAATCACTGAAGGTCTAGGTTACAACAACGGTCAATGAGTCTCATATCCTTATCCTTCCGTGGTCCTGTTCAACACTTAACATAAGTGCTAGTGTAATCCTTCAGTCAAAGACCAACTGAATCAAGAATACACTACAGTCTTTTTCCAAGTGGGGTCTCACTGCCAGTCTAGACTGTGAACGAATAGTTTAGTCTTATAAGGAACTGATAGGTGATCTTTCTGTTCGAAACTCTTCGAACCACACTACCTCAATATAACAAGGAGTATGTATTGCATAAATAAATAAACTGCAAACATATGTACTTTGACCGAAACATGATTGCCAGATCAAAATGGAATTGCTAGAATCTGCAAAACATAGCTTTTACAGCATACCTCTAACACAGCTCGCGCCCCGCACCATCTTGCCCATCAGGCTCGACCAGAGCCTTGGTCGAGCCAGCAGCAAGCTGCTTGGAGGAAGAGTGTTCGACAGGAGTGTTATCTGTGGTCTTGGCTTTGGACGACGCGTTGGGATTGGGAGATCGATGGTCGGTTTTTTGATGGTGGTTGTCGATCTTCTGGTGGTCGTCAGTTCTATGTGAGCGGCCATCGGCTTTGTGTTGACGATCAGTAGTTTTTGGCGGTCATCGGGCTTGTATTGACGGTCGGTAGCCTTTTGACGGTCATCGACCTTGGAGGAGGTCGAAGATTTGGTGGTCGATGAAGAAAGGGATTGTTGCTGAAGGTTCTTCTCAGGAGGTGGCTGTGAAGTTCGTTCTTGCGGTGGTTTTGGTGGTTGATGTTGTAGCGGCTGCTGTTGTTTTTGTGGCTGTGGCTGCGGCTGTTGTTGCGTTTGCTGTTGTTCTTTCGTCGGTGGGGGTGGAGGTGGCATGGTCCCTCGCGGAGGCGATCGCTGCTGTGGTGGCTCTGGTCGAGACCCAG